GGAGAGCGCCACGAGTGTGTGCTGGACGCCGCGCAGATAACGCACGACGCGCCTGGCGGACTTGAGCCTGTAGCGCTTGCCAACCTCGAGCTTCACGAAGACCTCCTGTCACGCCAACGCTCGGCGGCGTCGCGCGCCTCGCGCTTTAACCCTTCGAGGTTCTCGAACTCCATGAAATTGCCACCGAAAGCACCCTCGAAACAGTTGTCGGGGTGGAAGCCAAAGCCCTGACCGCCGATATCGAGCACCACGAAGTCGCCCTTGACATGGTTGGTGAACATCTCGATGGGGACCCCCGTGGGGCGAAGCTCTCGGATGAGCCCGAAGGCTTGCTCCAGGTGCATGACGGTGCCACGCCGCATCCCCCACGCCACGATGTCGGGCTCTTCGAGGTCCTCGAGTCGTATCGTCCTGGCCATGAGGACCACGCGCTCCTCGCCGGAGTCGAGGTGTTTGATGACGCGGCCATCGAGGACCTGGCGATCGTTCTCGAACAGGATGCCCTCGAGGGCGTCACTGACGACCTTGCCGTAATTGTCCCAGTCGCCGTGTGAGGCGAAGTTGGGCAGGTAGACATGGAGCTCGAGGCAGGCCCAGGCATCACCCCAATTCGGGCATCGGTTAAGGCCGAAGTAATCGCGGAGCGTCTTCTTGTGCGCGCTGTACGCCTTGGTGTTGGTGCGCTTTTTACCGCTGGCGGTGCGCTTCCAGGACTTGAGGCGCAGAGGCAATTCGCACGTCCAGACACGCGCCTCCTCCCCCTCCTCTTTTTTCTCTTTGCTGCTCATGCCGCGAATAACCTCAGCTGTTCCGGTCTGTCGTTCTCGGTGACGAGCAAGGGGATACGCCCGATCTTCTTGAACACGCGGACGAACTTGCCGGGGTGCTCTCCGAAGTAAATCACCGCGGAAGCATGCGGCGCGCCGTGGCCGCCGTCCTCGCGCCAGAAGTTGACGCGACCCCTTGGGAAGCACACCACGCGGTCCCAGAGCGGCTCGAACCACTCCGTCTCGATCGCCGCTTTCACGAGGAGGATGGCTTCCTCGACACGCCCGGCCTCGTACTCCTCGATGAGTTTCCGCGTCCAGACCAGCGATCTCGGCGTCCCACCGGGGTAGTCATGCCAGCCATAGGGAGGGTTGAGGAACAGGGAGCGTGCCTCCCAGGGCTGCGCGAGCCCATCATCCTCGACGGTAAAGAAGCGCTCGGCGCGGATCACCTTGTTGGCGAGCTCGCAGCTCGCCGGGTCGAGCTCGATCCCACCGAGCACCTCTCTCGAAGGCTCGACGATCTTCTCAGGCGAATACCACTCCACCGACTCCGAGCTATGCTGGATAATCTCGCTCAATGCCTGTCCCTTGGGGCTGATACTGGGCTGATACGGAGCGCGTCGGCGCCTGTGAAGCCATCCATCACCCAGCTAAACTCCATGCCGTTGATGACCTGGACGACAACTTCGACGCTCGTCACGACGCGTGCGGAGACGAGCCGACCACCAAACACCTCGCCTCGGTCATTTGCCACCGTGACGTGTAGCGAGTGGCCATTCTTTGCGAGCGACCCCTGAAGCGAGCAGAGCGCGTGCTTCCCCTTCAAGACGAGGTGCTCACCCGAAGGCAACTCGATCCTCACCGCGTCGAGATCCCCGACGCCGCTGACCACACACGCCGCGGCGATGTCACGCTCCTCGACGAACCTATCGAGCATGCCAGCGAGGCAAGACCTCGAGTGTAAACGCATGGCGATCGTGGTCATTGTTTCCTCTCATGCCTGAGCGGCGCGGAGCGCCCAGTCCTTGCTCTCGAGCAACCTGTCGAGCGCGCGCTCGAGGTCGGCGGTATCTTCTTGCGTCTTCACGAGCCTCAGCGCGAGCTCCATGTATGGCCTCACGACGTCCTGGAGGTAGGGCTCCAGACCATCGAACCGGAACCAGGCCACCAGCTCGGTGACCCTGCTATCCTCGAGCGCGACCGCTGGCGCCGCCGACTCGACAACCTCCTCGAACGCGACGGTGTAGACCTCACCGCTCTTGAGTAGGTCTCGCTCGAGCAAAAGCGTGTACTCCGCGTCAGGACAATTCGCGAGCATCGCAATACCCGTCTCCTTGCCCAGGCCCTTCATCGTGATCTTGAGCTTCATGGTGCATGCTCCGAGATAATGCGTCGGTCTTCGCGCCGGCGCAGCTTCTTCTGCGCCTTGCGACAGACAGATCTGTGGCGCTTTCGACGCCGCGTGTTGCTGCCTCTGGGGCGACGTTCGTATCGATGCGCGCCATAACTCATGGTCTTTGCTCGCTTGATCCTGTCTCGCGAGCCTTATTTGATCAGGTCGAGATCACCGAGTCAAGAACGGATGTTCAGGCCCCGACTCATAAAATTTATGAGTCAGGACGCCGCAGGGACCACGAGGATCTCGGCGGGACGGCGCGCGAACCAGTCGCTCTTGAGCAGGCTGGATCCTGCCTCGGGGTAATAGCGCTGGACGCCGACCCATCCACCTCGAGACAACTCGCCGAGCACGTGACAGGTGACCATCGCGCTCAATCCGGTGAGGCCAGCGATCTCGTCGAGCGTGGCGTTTCGTTTCTTGAGCAGCTCGAGCACGGCGCGCCCGTTCGGGGTGGACGGGTCGTACTCGGGGACCGGGGTTTTCGCTTCTTCGACGTATTTGACGAGCATGATGACTCCTTGGCTTACTCGGAGTTGCCGATGAGTGGCTCAGGCGACTTCCTGGTTGGAGTTCTGTGGTGACTCATAAAGTTTTTGAGTCACGTACCCCAGCGCCTTGAACCTCGCGGCGGTGATTTGATCGAAGTACTCCTGGCTCTGCTGCGACGTCTCCCCTCGGAACTTGAAGGTCTCGTAGGCCGTCTCCAGAATGAGAACGCCGCCGTAGAGACACCTCGCTCCGATGGACTGGACAGGCCACCTGTGTAGAGCGCCGTTTTCGAGTCCGATGACAATTTCATCGCGGTCTGCGCGCACGCTTTTGATCGGGTCGGCTTCTGTCCACTGCTCTTCATCGACAAAATCGCTCATCTTTTTCTTCTCCCTGGATCGACGAGAGCGGGGATCACCCGCTCTCGTATTCGGTCATTTTGAAACGCAGCTCGGAAAGATTGACCTGCTAGTCGAGTTCTAACTCTTGCGCCAATCGATCGCGTTCTTCTCCCTGGAAGTTCCCATCAAGAATTCTTCGCAGACGCGCGTTGTCTTGCTGGCGCAAATGGCCGAGCGCATAGGGCCGAATCTGGTCGTTGTAAAACGGCTCGCTGACAGCTGTTGTGTGAGCAAGCGCGTAGATCACACCAAGCAAAGAGTCGTCTTTGCCAAGGGTTTGGCACTCACCACGCAACGACTGGAACGCCAATTCGTCGTAGTCGAAATGCGGGGAAATTAACTCTGCGTAGAAGCTGACAAATCTGTCGAACTCGGCCTGTGGCATATTCGAATACTTGGGCAGGTACATCGGCTGGCAAAAGTTGAGCATGGAACCTTTGCAGATAAAGCTGAAGAACCTCCCTGCCTCCAACTGACGACCAATAATCATCGAGCCATCAGGGATCGGCAACTCCTCGCCATCTGGACCATAACCAGCGTATCCATGGTCGTAGTAGGAACGATCGAGCAGGGTTCCATCGGGCAGCCGTAAACACTCCTCGCTCCCGGAACCGCTGGAAAAACCAACCGGGTCGAGATCGTCTGTCTCCAGTCGGCAGTGCCACCACTCATGATGCAAGTGTTCATATTTTCTGACCGCGAAAGACCTTGGTCTCGCGAGATCGGCAATTCCCCCGCTGAGGATCTCGATACAACCTGGCTCGAATTCGCTCTCTCGCACCCCCGTCAGGTCCGCGCCACCACTTGTTGGCATCATCAAAACGTGACAGAAGCTGCTCGTACGTTCTCGAGCAAGGGGGGTCAGGATCGAAAGAATCTCACCCAAATCATCTGTTTCGTAACACCCAGGTTCAGCCCCTTCCCAAGCTCGGCTCCAGTCATGCAAGACACGACGACCCCAAAGACCTCGCCTCCTGCCCTCCCAGACTGCTTCACCGAAAGCCTCGGCAATTCTCCTGTTTTGCCACCACTCCACTTCTTCGTCTTCCACTGCTTTCTCCAAGCGCTGATTACTGCCCAAACTCACCGAAATACGAACGCATAACGTCCTTGCCTTTCGCTGTAAGCTCACTCCACTTCCGATGCCGTTTCGCAAACGGCATGCCAGGCCGTCCTGAACCCTGACTGCCTGATAAACCCGTCCGTATGCTCGTTGTAAGCGCTATATGCCCCCTGTCGGCATACCAACAGCAAAGGTGCCTTTCTTGTGTGCCTTGTTACCCGAACCCACGAATGCTCTTCGTGCATGGCATCGTACTGTTGTTCTGTTGCGATTTCTCCGCGAGGACCAACACGAACAAGTTCATAGGGAGCTTCCGAACCAAAACCAACCACCTTGCCATCACACCGAGGCATCACGCCAAACTCGAGCCGGAAGTAACAGCTGTCTGTGTTACCTTGCTGCAAACAATGAAACTCTAAAGTTATTGGACCTCCACCCCAGCCAGTTGTTTCACAACGCAGTTCTATTTCATCTTCACGACCCGCCAAAAAATGGACGCTGTTAATGCTCTGGCTTCCCCCGTTGGCAAAAAACGCCTCCACGTAAGACTCCGAACCTTCAATAGAAAGAAGACGTCGCAACACCGCCACGATGGTCGAAGCACCACGCCAAACCATCCGCTCGGGCAGCTCCATCATGGTGGGCGCTCCTGTCACCTCGAGCACAGCATCGTGCCAACACTTCAGCCCAGGTACATGCCAATCACTTCGGTGCCTTTGTCCGCCAGATTCCAAAACCCGTTCAAACATCTCTCTGATGCAGTTTCTGTAGGTTTGCTCATCCATCTTCGCTGTCCTCCAGATTAACCTTGGCGAACGTCATCAGGTGATCATTCTCTTGATCTAACCACACCTTGCTGGGTTCTCTATCGCTGCTCATCACACCCTCGCATATCTTCCGGCGAGCTTCCTCGCTGCGTCTTCGTCCACATCGCCGCTCTCTAGCATGATGGCGAGCCTCTCCTCATAGTCTTCACGCTCCTCCTCGGAGAGTTGAGTTACATCAACGGGAGCCTCCTCGACATCCAACCAGGCCGTTCGGCCGTCGAGGATCGCATCCAAAACACCAGACTCGAGCAAGGCGTTGGCATCCTTTACCTTTGCAGGACACTGAATGGCCACGAACCTCGCGCGAGCCCATTCCCCATGCACCCTCACGAGCGAATCGAGCACCTTTTGAGCAAACTCCTTCCCCGATGCATCACCATCGGCCACCACCACCACTTTCCCCAGTTTGTGCCAGCCCTCTACCCAGGCATCACGCCAAATGGAGCTGCCAGAACTCGAGCAGGCATAGCGACCTGTTGTCATGATGCTCACCGCATCGAACTCGGCTTCAGTGACGTAGAGTGTCCCTCGAGACTCGAGCGCCTTCGAGATCTCCCCTGCCAGAAAAGGCACGTTGGGTTGCAAGCCCACGAGGCTCGAGTAGCGCACCCAGGGATTCTCCCCGAGCAAGCGAAACCGGAAGGAATCAAGCTGCTGAGCAGCAGTGTAGTACGGAATGATGATCGCCGGGCCATCGTGCGCTGGCGCGATGTTGCCGTTGCTGTAGAGCAACCCACACTGTGCTTTCTCATCGGGTGAGAGACCGTTTACGATGCTCTCCCAACGCTTCGGATCTTCGATGCTCTTGATTTTGAGGGTTTCAGCGAGGTGGCGAGAAATCCCTCTTCCTTCGAGGTAGGATGCGCCTTGCTCTCCGAGCTCCAAGCGCCCAAGCAAGTACTCCAACAACGCAACCACGCGCTCTGGACGAACCTTGTGACCCGTAGCCACGCGCTTGCGCAACTTCGGGACCTCTCTTGGCACATCGCCTTCCGAGAGTCCAAACTGCCTGGCGAGAAGCTCGGCGGCATCCAGGAACCCGAGATCATACGCACCCTGGACAAGGCACACGTTGTCATAAACGACAACTGATGGACCTGGACAAGCGCCGTAGTAGCAACGCGCACCCTGGCCGTGACGGTTTAGATCGATCGAAAGGTGGGGCTTGTGGCACCAAGGACAGACATAGCGATTGGTGCCACTGCCCTTCTCGAAGCCAAGCCACGCAGCGACCTCGAGAGAATCGAGCGCCTTGAGGTGTTGCAACAGATGATCATCCACGGCTCACCTCCGTCGCGCGTTGGCGTTTCGCATGCTCCCAGGCTGGCTTGGTAATGCGCCTGTAATAAATCCCCACGGCGTTCATGAAACCTTCGACGCGGCCATCTTGCTCGGCAGCATCCTCCTCATCGAAAGGCCATGGCCCTGGCACGTCTGTCGCAAATTCAGCAGGGATTTGGTCCGCTGTCGCCCAGCTAAAAGTCTTTTGATCCATGTCCGACCACGCGAGCGCCCAACACTTCGTCACGCCATTAAACCCGAAGCGACTCTTCCCGTTGACGAGCACGGTGAGTCCGTCGAGCTCGGGATGTCCGTTGTAGGGGCGATGGAAGGAAAGGAAGTTTGGCGAGGCGTCATGAATCGATCTCGCCCACTTGGCTTGCTCGGGGTCTTGCACAGGCACTGGGAGATCCCTCAAGCCTTCTTGCTTGTATTGCGTGAGCAGGAGCACTGTAGTGTCAGGCATCGACTTGGCAAATGCGTTGAGGGTCTCGGCAGCCTCCTCGATGTGACGAGATTTCCCCTCCCGCTCTAGCCAGGGACATCGGCAATACTGAAGGTAATCGATGATGAGCAGCAACCGCGCCGAAGGCTTCCTGGCCTTGGCAGCACGCGCTTCGTTCATGATGCGTTGCACATCAAGGCGCGTACTTGGTGGAAAGATCTCGATGTTCTGGGAGCCCAGCCAGTCCGCAGCGCCATCGGCTTGTGCCTTCAGGCCACGAGCGTATGGGTTGTCCTGAAAATCCTGTTCGGTTAACCCCTCAAAGCGTGTAGCAAAAAGCCTGTAGGCGGTCTCTTGCTGCGTCATCTCCGCTGACCAGATTTGCACCATGGCTTCGCCGGGAGCATCGAGCCAACCGTTCATGGTCGCGAGCGAGAAAGTAGTCTTGCCGTGGCCGGTGAGACCGGCAATGGTGTAGCCGCCGTTGCGAAAGCCACCATGGAGTGCAGCGTCGAGAGGCTCGATGCCTGTGCTCACAAACACCTCCACCTCACCTTCCGCCTGTCGGGTCCAATCCTCCTTGAGATTCTTGGCAATTGTCAGCGCGAGGCTCGCCCGACGCTCTTCTTCGTCGCTGGTAAGAAGCCCTGCGAGTTGTTGCACGCAAGCCAGAGCATCCACATCCGATTCGGGGTCTGGCTTGAGCAAGAAACCCTGGAGGGTGGAGATCATGCGCAAGGCGTCGCGTCGGCGTCGAAGTTGAACCACCATACCAGCGTAACAAGCAGCCACATCTTCGGGGATCATCTGATTGGACATGGACTCGAGCTTTGCTGCGTGCTCTTCAGTCCAGATACCAGACACCTCGAGCTGGCTTCGGATGTAGTTGACATGCACGCCCTGGCGTTTGCCTTCAAAGCGGCGGCGCCTCGAGAGATCACCTAGCGATGCCTGAAACACGCTCCAGATGTCTTTGTGTTCACGGTCGTAAAAATCGGTGGTGTTCACATACCGAGCAAGCGCATCGTATTGCTGATTGTTGCGCAACAAGCTCGCCAGCAAGCCACTCTCGGCGCGTTCGCAGTAGGGCTCGCTCGGCCCACCATCGAGATTTGCCCAGAGATCATTCGTGATGTCTCGAGCGTTTGCGATGATTTCAACAGTCATTTGCCAACCTCCTCTTGGTTGGCGAACGCTGCCTTTGCCCTGGCGAGACGCTCCTGGCGCTTACGCTCGTACGCTTCGTAATCCACTGTCGTGCATGAAGTGCTTGGTGTGGATCGTGTGGAGTTCTTTGAATGTTGCTCGGCGCGCTTTGATTCATGGAAACGCGTCAAACTGCCTTCGCTAAGGTCTGTCTCCAACCACTCCAAGGCTTGGTGAATCGAGTTGGGCGGGTTCGGTCCCTTGTCCTCGAAGGTCCGCGCTGCGAAGTTTGCAAGCCGCCGCTTCAGCCACTCGCAAACCGTTCGGTGGTCTATCTCAGGGCATGACTGGGTGAGTTGGCTTATGAGCAGCTTGACGCGGAGCTCTGTGACGCCCTTGCCATCTCCGATGCTGGCACCAAAGGACTTCAGTTTGCTCTCCACCCACTCCTGGAGTTTTGCATCAGCGTCTTCTTCTGGACTGTGGTGGGTATCTTTGTTTTCGTCTTCGTCTTCGGCTGGAAGAATCCCCTCCCGAGCTGCGAGAGGGGTCCCCTGATGTTCCAAAATCAAATCTGTTGGAGGGGGAGGATCGTCGTCGATGTTGTTTGCATCATCGATCGATCCTTGCACCACCTCCTCTTCTTCTTTTGTTTCTTGATGAAGGTTCTCTTGATGAAAACTCCCTTGATCGGGGTCCGATTTGGAGGGGGCCAAAATGGACCCCTCCAAAAAAGGTCCCCTGTCGCGACTTTTAGGGGGGTCCATTTTGGCCCCCTTGCCGTTCACTTTTTTAGGCTTCTTATCAGAAGGGGGGTCCATTTTGGCCCCCTTGCTCGACGGGCTGATGTAGCCTGATGTTTGGGCGAGAAGTTCGCGCACCTCTGCTGGCATCGGTTGCGTCACATCGTACCGAGGGTAGCCAGCGAGTTTTATGGTGTAGAAATAACCCTGCGTTTTATCACAGGGGAGGTGAAACCAGTCTTCGTGGATGTCGTTGATATCGTGTTGTTCAATGAGTTGTTCATCTACCAGATGAGCCAAACACTCACGGACTGTTTTATTTTTGGCAATCCCTGCGCGTGCGGCCAACGAGTCTATGCTCATGAAACAACCTGTACCTGTCTGCCAAGCGGTACCGAGCGCAATGACAACGGCCAACATTTTTCGGTTGGCTGGCAGATTAATATCTGGCCGCGTCACGTGAAAGAGGAATGCATCTTTCACATTTCTTGAGGGTTTAGATTTCAGATCCAACGTCGTCCTCCATATCATTCCAAGCGGTTGTTCAGTGCCTTGGTTGCCTGCCACCCGAAGGTGTCGTCCGCAGGTTCCAACCGAAGCTAGGGTATACTCTCACCAATGACCATGTAAAGTACATGGTCATGATATTTCATTGGTCATCAACCCTCCCTTTCAAGAGGGTGTATTGATAGCCTTTATCCCGCGCGAGCAGCGTTCGTGTGAACCAACCATGTTCTTCAAGGTCTTTCATGGGTCGGTACATTGAGCCTTCGTTTACGCCAGCTCGCATTGCGACATCGTTGTATGTCGCGATAGCTACACCGTTTTCAGAAATGCGACCCAGTACGATGAGAATCATCTTCCTGGTTGCATTCAAGTCAGCGTCAATAACTTGACCTTCCCAGCGTTCGAGGCTAAACTTTCCACCAAGCTCCTCCACCCCAGCGGTTGTGGAATCCCCGGCTCCTCGGTTCGTCCCCGAAGGAGCCGGATCTTTTTCTTGCTCCTGCTGATCTCTGGTCACATGACCTCCTTCAAGGTTAAGAGCCTCCACGTTTTCCCTCCAAACGCTTTTTTTCTTGGTCCTTCACTTTTTTTGTCGAATAGCGGATTTCTCGGCGTTTGACCCTGAACCGTTCGGTCAAAAAAAGTGCTATTTTCTATTTTGTTCGTATTACGGGGTAGCGAGACCGATCGATTAGGCTCGCGAAACAGGCTTGATTTGCCTGTTTTTCGTCTGGCCAAAGCGAACCTCGGCCTTGTTTTATCAGCCTCATCCCGTGTTTTTGCCTGATCGGTGGCGCCTTTTCGGAGGCTCAAAGCGCCATTTTGATGAAATAAGCAATGATTCATCTCGCTACCTCCCCGAACTGTGCCTCGACTAGCTCTTCCAGTTCTGCCTTTAGCGAGTGCATGTCTGCGGACATGGCTGGCACCCCTTCTATCGGCCTGACCGACCAGATGATGGCTGTTCCCTCCGAGGTCTCGACGTAGGCTCTGGCCAGGGCCTGGACCGAAAGCATTTGCTCCATGCAGCGCATCAACTTGGTAGGTTTTGGCAAGGGTGTGATCGCGACATGCCCTGTGTTGTATGCCTTGGCGGCTTGCTTCCATCCCCCGGTTCCGGGGTCGTCCCACTTCAAGACCTGGATACCGCCTTTGGGCAAGGTGTGTGCCCAACTGTCGTCGTGCTCTGCCCCCTCCTCCTCTTCTATTTCTTTCGGAACAGGGGTGGCGCTGGCGCTCGCGCGCGGTGTCTCAGGTGTGGATGCGTGGCTCGCAGATGCCTTCTGTGCGCTAAGTGACTCGGTTTCGCCGTTGTTCGAACGCTTCAAAACCTTGCCAGGAGATGCATTACCTCCCACCCCTTTTGCATCCGACTCAAAACTTTTCTGAGTCCTGGGTGTGGAATCAGAGCCGATGTCTGTGACTGTGATCTCACGACCATCCTTGCCGGTCACGGTGGGTTGGTGTTCGATAAGACCCTTGTCGACCATCTGTCTTCGGAGTGCAGAAACAGTGGGTTGTGAAACCCCGCACATGTCTGCAATCCAGCCATCGCTGCGCTTGACCCACTCGTCATCATTAAGCGCGCTCCGAATCGCGCGTTGCTTGTCCGAGCGCGTGCGCCTCAAGCCGTGACGCGCGTTGGCGATGAGCGAGAGCTCGAGGGCGCGCTTGCGGTCGCCTGGTTTTATCCGGGCCTGGAACTTCGCGATCTTCTTCTTCTTGGCGGCCTCGAGGCGGTGCCAGCCGTCGACGAGGTAGAGCGTGCCGGAGTCACTCTCCACGAGTTCGATCGGCTCGAACGCCACACCCTCCTTGTCCTCGACGTGCCCGGTTTTCGGCGCGACCATGCGCGAGGCATACTCGCGCACCGTGTCATCGTCGAGCTTGACGCGCATCTGGAGGGAGCGCTCTTGCTGGATCTCCTCGATGTCGACCATCTTGATCTGGACACTCGATGCCCTCGAGATGATGTCACGCTTCTCCGCGCGTGCGCTGCCTGCTTTGCCTCGTTTGGCCATTATCCGATCCTCTGCTGTAGCCAGGTCGTTGCTTTCTTATAGTCTTTGGCGCCGGCGCCGCTCGGCTCGTACTCGAGGATGGGGGTCTTCGCTCCCCAGCTCTCCCCTACTGCCACGGCGCGCCGAATCTTTGGCGAGACGAACTCCTCGCCGAATTGGGACTTGAGCCAGTCGAGGTTCTCGGCGGCCATGTTCGTCCTGGTGTCGACCATTTGCGGGAGCACCCCGAGCAGGTGGCAGGAGGAACCGAGCAGTGTGCGAACCTCCTCGAGCGAGTCGAGCGCGTTGACCAGGCCATCAACGCCAGAGTCATCACAGGTCACGGGGACAAGGAGACCGGTGGAGGCCACGAGCGCGTTCACGACGCGGATCCCGAATCCTGGAGGGCAGTCGATGAGCACGATGTCTGGGTTGTCCTGAGTCCTCGCCAGCGCATGCTTCAAGCGCACCTCGCTGCCGCGTAGTCCTGGGAGGATCGAGGGCAGGGCGTTTAATGCTTGGCCTCCGGGCACGAGCTTGATTCCCCACTCGGTGTCTTCCCAGGTGAGCGGCTCGCTCAGGGACAGGAGCGTGTCGTGGAGCTCCTGGCCGCCACGTTCTTCTCCGAGGTAGGCGGTGGCGTGTCCCTGGCCGTCGAGGTCGATGATGCCGACCTCATAGCCTTCATCTTTGAGACCATAGGCGAGATTGACGGTGGAGGCAGTCTTTCCCACGCCTCCTTTCTCCGCTGCGATACTGATCACGAACATATGAGCACCTCCTTGTGCTTCATGGTTTGTCCTCGCAAGTTCCTCTCAGGTGAGTTTCGAGCTGCATTTTGCGAATGGTAGCTCCGGTGGCTCCGCACATCTTCGAGGCATCCCATCCGCTTACCTTTCCATCCATAAAGTCGATGAGGAGAGGTGCGCATGGCGGGTTGTCATCCCATACATACGTTCGGATGCGGGGATCCAACTCATCCATGCACGAGCCTATCGGAGGACCAAAGATCCCGATGATTTGGGACAGGCTCTTCCCATTCCGAAGGAGATCTATTTTCGAGAGCTTTGTTTCGGTCGGAGCAGGAGCGCTTTTGGGTTCAGGCTTTTCCACATCCGCGAACGTGCAGAGGTGCTTTGTGCCGTAGAGCTTCATATTCTGCTCTCGGCTCGCCAGGTGCTCCTCCCCGCAACGATTCTTCCCGGTCTTGAAGGTGACTTCCCCACGCAACACATCCACGCGCACCAGGTCGCACTCCTCCCCCTGATCCCAGGTGTAGGTGATGGTGCTCGGTTCGCTGGAGTGTTCGTCGTAGGGTTCCCGGCACTTGTTCAAGGGGACAGGCATGATCTTCAACATGGTCTCTTCGTTCATGCCTGTCTTGACGTGCTCGAGGCGCTCCAGGATGGGGGTGTCGTAGTCGAAGGTGGGGATGTCTGAGGCTGTGGTCTCCGAAGTGCTTATCTCGTCAGCGGCGCGCGCGGCCTCTTCGGATTTCTGTCTGTATTGCTTGAA